TCCTCTTCTAAGGATGCATGTGCTGGCATTTAGGGCCCACCCCGATAATCCAGGGTAATCTCCCTCAGTCAAGATCCTTACCCACATTTATAAAAGCTCTTTTCCTAAAGAAAGTGACATATATAGTTTTGGGATGTGATAGGAACTGTTCTGACTACCACGCCACTTCAGTAGTTTTCATTCAAGAAGAAAAGATGATTGATCTCTCTGAAAGATCTTTAAAAGATCTCTCTGAAGAAAAAAATTAACTATGTGAGATGATGAATGTATTAATTCATTTGATAAGGGTGAGCATTTCACAATGTATAATATATATTAAATCATCACATTGTACACTTTGAATATACAGTTTTCTTTGTCAAAGTTTATTTGTTCCTAAATAAATAAATTTATTTATTTGTTCCTAAACAAATAAATAAATGAAAGATCCCTCTGGCCGAATGGGCTTCAGAGAGCAAAGGGAGCAACAGGTCCAGTGAAGAGGCTACTACAGTAATCAAAGGAGAGATGACTAAGGCTTAGGAACTAAAATGACATATTACATACTTGTTGACATCATGATCGGCTAATGAGACAGTGGTATAGCAGTTAAGAGGAAGAACCTGGATGTCAGACTCCTTATTCAAACCCCATCACACCACTTGCCAGTTTTGTGACTTTGGGAAAGTTAACTGACCTAAGTTGTGAGCCGTATAGAACTGCCATGGGCATTCAAGGAGATAAAGATTCAACAAAGAGTTGTAAAATGTTTGACAAAGTGCTTGACACATCTTAAGACCTCAATAAATGCTAGCTATCTTTATTTTATCTTTTCCTGACATTGCACATCTTCTAATAGATGGTTTACGCCGTATCTTTTGCTTCCCAAAATAAGTGAAAAAACAATAACAGGATCCAGTAACTCAACAAACAGAGACTTTTTTTTGCACTTGATTTATAAAGAAGGCACTGATATCACATGGTTAATGATATCACTGTTTTAAATTTTATAAAGGACCACAGTATTTTAGAAACGTATGCTGGTAAAACAAATTCTTTCATTTTCAGACAAACAGAAGTTCAAGTCAAATATCCAAATATCCAATATTAACTCAACTTAATATGTCACAGGAAGAATTCAAACTTAATCAACAAAGACCACAGGGGGAAAAAAACCTGTTTTCTTTCTTAAAAGATATCCTAGGATTAAAAATAGATACAGTAATTACAGTAGACCCTTGAACAACATGGTTTAGGGGTGCCAACCTTTCACTTGGTGGGAATAAAACTTTACAGTGGACCCTCCCTGTTTCCCAGATTCAGTAACCACATATTCAACCAAAATCTGATTGTGAAGGACTGTGGTACACATTTACTGAAAAAGTTCAAGTAAAGATGGGCCCAAGCAGTTCAAACCCATGCTGTTTAAAGGTCAACTGTACATTCAGAAGTGCCTCATATCTAGAATTAGACAGAGAATTTAAATTGGAGGTCAAAATGTTTCCTTTCTGGATTCTTATTTAAATTAACCTTGAGATGAGTGATCTAATTGCACTATCATTCATCATCCACTTTGGATAGAATTTAGAAAGCAAATTGCAGAATACTATGATTAGTTCAGTTCTAATCCTGCCTCTCTTTCTGCCATTTTATTTTTAACCTCAAATTCCTTCATCTCTAAAACAGTGAAAACAGCAACCTGTTTTAAAAGCCATTTTTAAGTTAATACATTATTATAAAGATGAAATGCAAATGGTATACAACAAAACAAAAACAGAATTAAAAATATTTTGTTTGGTGAAATTTTATAATACATAAGGCCAGAAAAATCTGCATCACTTTATCTGATGTTCTTCAAGGTAAAGATAAGGTACAGTGTGAGTTCTAAAAAGCTGCTTATACTACTGTTATAAATGTGAAAAGAATCTAGAGAATGATTAACTTCTTACACTAAATACTTATTATTCATGTCTTTAAATTCTCTAAAAGTAAATCAATCAAAGAAGATTACCATTAGTAAGTATTCAAATTATTTTTCCCTGTTGATGTAATAAATTATCAATCAAGACACTCAAAACCAGCAGAAACAACCCAGAAATCTGGAAGTCATTCCTCTATTTCCCACATCAGGTCCATCATTAAGTTCATTCTATCTCAATAAATACATCTCAGATATATCCACCATTCTCTGTTGTCCTAATTCGCTCTCCTGCACCAAGCCAGCTTCACATACTACAAGGACTAGAGCTGCAACTTCCTCCCACTCCAATCCACTCTCCACACAGTTAGCAAAATGATCACTGCAAAATGTCAACAGGATACGTCCTTCTCAAAGTCCTGCCCAGCTTCAAGTCTTCAAGGCCTTCCACTGTTCAAAGAAAGAATGACTCTTGCACGCTCTGTCACTGACCATCTCTCTAACCTCTTCAAGTCATGACCTACCCTTACCCAGTGGACTCCACCACACTTAGGACCATTTTGAATTCCCCCAACTCCTTCTGCTCTCTCTGCCTGGACCACTTGTTCTCACCTCCTCAAATGGCTGTTCCTCCTATCCCATCCCTTCAGCTTTCAGTTCCTCAGAGATGCTTCTTTGACCTCTCAATGCTCAGTTAGTGCCCTCACACTCCCAACGCCCCCACATCCCCCCCACTTTACTCTGTTTTTTCTGCTCAACCACTTTTTTAATGTCTGTTTCCCGCCCCACTAAAAAACTTCCTTGAGGGTGAGTTCTTGTTTTGTTTACCTCTGTCTTCTCAGAGCTTAGAACAGTGGGAGGTGCTCAGTAAATATTTACGAAGCCATTATTATTAAATGCTCACTTTGAGACACAAGATTGCTTTTTTATAAAATTATCTAAGAGAGTATGGCCATGCAAAAGTGAATAAAGCAGCTCTGTGCGATTTCTGTCATACTTGTATCACCTGGAAGTCACCACTCACAGAAGCAAGACAGAATTAAAGAAGGTGTTATGAGTACCAATATATCTTAATATCTGAACATTATGATTTTAAATGATTTGCTCATAAACATAGGTTTTATTATTTGAGGTGCGGTTGCTTAAATGTTCAGCTGCCTACATTTTACATTAAACCCTCTATTAAAGTCAGTATTATTGCCCCCATTAAAAAGTCTTTCCCATTTGCTTAATTCATCAGCATTTTTACGTAAAGTCAGAATCACACATTAAATAATCCCCTACGCTTATTCTTTCATTGTTTTCCATAGTTTCTATGTCTTCCTGATACAGAATCTAATCAGGGACTGTTTTCTACCTTTTATAGTAAAGGGTAAGATAGATGAGCGTCCTAAATAAATGGTTGCTTGTTGATTAAAGAAATGAATGAAATCATTCAGCAATAAAGATTTTCCTAGTATAATAGTCATTAGTTTACATTTTCCTTATATGCATTTATTCAGTTAATCTTCTGTATTATAAATTAAACTGATTATCTTTAGAAACTTACTAAAATCTTATCCTCTATAACTCAGTTATATAGTTTCATCAGAAACATTTGATTCTTTGTATAGATACACTTTATATAATATTTTTATACACTTCTATGAAATTAAATTTTTTTTAGACGTTAGTATTTAATTAACTTTAGTGTGAACTCTTCAGCAAACAATTTTTTTCAAAATAATTCAGAGACCTCTAAAGCTCACCACTGTCTATCTACCTTTCATTCTTGCTTTATGAAACTTGTAACTTGCAACATGCTCTCTTGGCCCAGATTCAGCCTGCTCAACGCAGAGTGTAGTATGCTCAATATTTTGAGCTATAAATCTAATTTGCTTATGCATAATAACTCCTTGGTCAAGAGGATCTATACCTGTTCCCTTCTACAAGTGTTTAACTGGTATTCCCAGGTGACACTAACACACTTAGGTCAGTTAATATCACTTCAGTTGAATGAGAAATTAAACCTAGACTGTGTAGACTTAATTCCACTGAAATTCCAGAATGATCTGGGAAAAACTGACATGAAAAAGCTTCATGTGCTTTTGAATCACACGCACTACTAAAAAAAGCATTTTCTCCATTCACATCTCTAAGTTAAAATATATATATATATACACAATATATCCATACTGCCTGCATAGAAATGTGGGCAACTAATAAAAATAACATGTTATATCCCTGATCTTCATCACTGGAAGAATGCTGTATATGCCTAAAAATAAAACCCAAGGGCACATGATAACAGTATTTTAAACACATATAAATTAATTTAAAATTATTTTTTTTTAAAGTTAATCCAAACAGAAAGCCAAAGCAAAGTCTATAAAACTCACTATTCGCAAACAGAATCCCTAGTACTATGTAATCTCCTTGACCTCATTAGTAGGTAAGCTTCCTAAGGACCCAAAAGGCATTATCTGTTGTGTTCATTCAAGTTGTGTTACAGAACACTTTGCATATGGTACAAATAAATAATAAATAGCATGCATCAAATATTTAATATTTTATATTAATAATCAATATTAAATAAAGGAAAGAAAGTTCTAGTAGATCAAACATTTTATTAGTAACAGGAAAACTAGTCTGAAGGAATTTAAAAAGCAATTAAATATAAAACTAAAACTGCAGTGGCCATAATCAAATCTCTATTTGATGATTCTTGAGCAGTCACCAAAAGGTGACTATTAAGACTATCAGTTAAATGGCATTATCAATGTTCTAGAAATATTATTAATAATGTATTTATGTCAACAGAATACCAAATAAGATTGCTATAGTTTTATAAGACTAAGATTTTTTTTGAGCTACTGAAAACATAATGTTTCTACTGAGAAAATGATTAGAGAAAACTTTGTAGTTTAAGATCTAGATTTCTCCATTTCATCAGCTAAGTTCTCTAAATATTTTCAAAATAATTCAAAATATTTATAATACTTCCTCCACTCAGTGGTTAGATACAAAAGATCAGCCATCCAAAGCTCTGAAATTTTCTCCTGGCAATGACAACATACTACCGGGAAAACATGATGGATTCAAATCTTATTTCACAGCAACTTACTCGAACTTTTGGCAAGACTCTCCGAAGTGTCTCAGCAGGGTTCTGTCGCATCAGAAGTGGAAGATTTGCAATCACGCTTGTCCCCTGGATATCCTGACCAGCACTTACAAAGAAAACACAAATTTAAGATTTGTAACTATAAATTTGTGATTATAATTTACATTGTAAAAAGCAGGGATTAACTTGAAAACAACTGCTTTTAATAATGAACACCAAACTTCTGACAATTTTAAACTTTAAATGGATCAATTAGATATAAAAATTAAGCCAGAGCTGAAATTTCATTAGGTAAATCTTACAACAAATACATGGAGATATTAATTATGTTTATGCTAAAACATGATTCTCTATCTACACATGTCTTACTGAAAAAATATTGAGACCATTATTAAATATTTACTTTAAAATTCAACCTCATTTTTCCCTGTGACCTGCCAGTTTGCTATACTTTATAAAAATAGATTTGGTAAATTTCATTTTGGTAAAATACTAATAATCATAACAACAGCAGGGACAGCAACAAAATTAGCTATAGCAGAATCATACAACTTTCTTCTAGTACAATGAAACTATCTGTTGCACTCCACTGACTCCGAGTTGCCAGAAACTTAATATACATACTCTATATTCTTAAAAGTCAGTAGGGTGTATTTATATGGTACCTTTTTGATACAGCATTCTTTAGGTCACTAAGGCGTTACCAAAACAATCTGTGATACTCTAGCGGCCTAAATAGTTCAAATTCTTCTGAAAAACCATTTTCATGCAAAAACTTACTTGTTTTTAAAACATAAGCTAAGCAACATAAGTTGTGCAAGTACTTGAAACATAGCTATAACAGATGTCATTAAATGTGGTGCCACCTCAGAAAGAAATTCCACCTATCCTTAACTGATACCAATTTGAATGTTAATTACTGATCCCATAATATTTATTTAAGTAAAAATGACTTTAGTTAACCCTCCAAATGGAATTATTTGTTAGTACACGTATACAAGGCCTTAACAAGGGGACTTTCCTGGTGGTCCAAAGGTCAAGACTCCATGCTTCAACCGCAGAGCTCATGAGCTCAGTCCCTGATTGGGGAACGAAGATCTCATATACCATGTGGCACAGCCGTAAAAAAGACCTTAATATGGATTTTATAAAGAGTGTTTTCAAGTATTGCATTTATTTCCTTCAGTGCTTTGTAAATTCTGCTAATAAGCAGCATATTCTGACTAAATGAAGCTGCCCTGCTGTGGAAAAAAGTCTTTTCCCTGCTAAAGTATCTCTGCTCAGTCGCTCAGTCATGTCTGACTCTGTGACCCGCATAGACTGTAGCCCACTATGCTCCTCTGTCCATGGGATTCTTCAGGCAAGAATACTGGAGTGGGCTGCCATTTCCTCCTCCAGGGGATCTTCCCAATCTAGGGATTGAACCCGCATCTCTGATGTCTCATGCACTGTGGGCAGATGCTTTTCCACTGGGCCACTGTTGTAGTATGGTAGGCTGCAAAATGTAAGTTAGTACAATCTTTCCACTATTCTCATCACTCTCTATGTGAATACTTTTTTTTTTTTAATTAGTTGGAGGCTAATTACTTTACAATATTGTAGTGGGTTTTGTCATACATTGACATGAATCAGCCATGGATTTACATGTATTCCCCATCCCAATCCCCCCTCCCACCTCCCTCTCTTCTACATGAATACTTTAAGAGACAAAATTCAAGAAGGAAAGAGAAGGGAGGGGGAAAGGAGAGCCATGCCAAGGTGAGGAGAAGATCAAAAAAGGGAAAATAAAATTGCATATAAAAGTACTGCTTGCAGCTGGTTGAATGTGCATACATGTGTGTGCTCAGTCACTCAGTCATGCCTGAAACGCTTTGCAACCCTGTGGACTGTAGCTTGTCAGGATCCTCAGTCCATGGGATTTCCCAGGCAAGAATACTGGGGTGGGTTGCCATTTCCTACTCCAGGGGATCTTCCCAACCCAGGGATCGAACTCTTGTCTCCAGTGTATCCTTAACTGGTTCAGTTCAGTTCAGTCGCTCAGTCATGTCCGACTCTTTGTGACCCCATGAACTGCAGCACACCAGGCCTCCCTGTCTACCATCAACTCCCGGAGTTTACCCAAACCCATGTCCATTGAGTCGGTGATGCTATCCAACCATCTCATCCTCTGTTGTCTCCTTCTCCTACTGCCCTCAATCTTTCCCAGCATCAGGGTCTTTTCAAATGAGTCAGCTCTTCCCATCAGGTGGTCAAAGGACTGGAGTTTCAGCTTCAACATCAGTCCTTCCAATGAACATCCAGGACTGATCTCCTTTAGGATGGACTAGTTGGATCTCCTTGCAGTCCAAGGGACTCTCAAGAGTCTTCTCCAACACCCAGTTCAAAAGCATCAATTCTTTGGTGCTCAGTTTTCTTTATAGTCCAACTCTCACATCCATACATGACCACTGGAAAAACCATAGCCTTGACTAGATGGACCTTTGTTGGAAAAGTAATGTCTCTGCTTTTTAATGTGCTGTCTAGGTTGGTCATAACTTTCCTTCCAAGGAGTAAGCGTCTTTTAATTTCATGGCTGCAATCACCATCTGCAGTGATTCTGAAGCCCAAGAAAATAAAGTCAGCCACTATTTCCACCATTTCCCCATCTATTTGCCATGAAGTAATAGGACCAGATGCCATGATCTTAGTTTTCTGAATGTTGAGCTTTAAGCCAACTTTTCCTCTTTCACTTTCATCAAGAGGCTCTTTAGTTCTTCTTCACTTTCTGCCATAAGAGTGGTGTCATCTGCATATCTGAGGTTATTGATATTTCTCCTGGAAATCTTGATTCCAGCTTGTGCTTCTTCCAGCTCAGCATTTCTCATGATGTACTCTGCATATAAGTTAAGTAAGCAGGGTGACAATATACAGCCTTGAACTGGTAGGCGGATTATTTACCACTGAGCCACCTGGGAAGCCCAAGTTGAATGGTGCCCCCCACCCCCATAAAATATATCTACACCATAATCCTGGAAACTGTGAATGTTATCTTAATTTGAAAAGGGATTTTGAGATAAAGAGCTGGTCATGGATTATCCAGTAGACTATAAACCAAATAACAAGTGTCCTTAAAAGAGATATTCAGAGAAGACAGAGTAGGAGGCAATCTACCACAAAGCAGAGACTGGAGTGATGTTGCCACGAGCCAGAGAGTGCTGACAACCACCAGAAGCTGGGACAGACAAGGCACAGATTCTTCCCCACAGCCCTGCCAACACCTTGATTCTGACTCAGTGGCTACTGATTTCAGACTCAGTTGCTATTTTTAGCAAATACTAGTTGCTAAAAAAGTACTTGCTACTTTTAGCCTCCAGAACTGTGAGAGAATACATTTCTGTTGTTTTAAGCCATCCAGTTTGTGATGATTTACTACGGCATGATAAGAAACAAATAGACCACTAAGGAACTAAAAGAGAAGAGAAATATCTGAAAAAGTAGTGTTTCATCTGACAATGCCTGGCCCAAAGTACAGGTTTAGCAAAAGTCTCTTAAAAGGATAGATGAATGAATAACTCATTGCATGAACTGATGTCACAAATATTTAATGTGAACATTCAGTAAATTTTATTTACTTACTTTGCAATTAGGAAAATATATGATCACTAATACCTCACAGATAGGAAGACAAAATATTTCATGGAAATAAAAGCAGGAAAAAAATTAAATGATTTAAGACCCTAAATAAATAGTTACATTGAAGGTAAACGAGCTAAATATACCAATTAAAAGACAGGGTTTGGCAGAGTAGATTAAAGGACCTGACTCAACTAAATGCAGCCATAAGAAACTAATTTCAAATATAACAATATCAGCAAGCTGAAAGTAAAGGACGGAAAATGATATAACACAGAAATATAGACCAAAGTAAAGCGGTGGTGGCCGCATTAAGGTCAGATAAAGTCAACGCCCTTATAAAGAAAATCACCAAAGATAGACAGGGACATTGATGATAAAATGATAAAAGAGGAAATCTAGCAAGAAAACATAGCAATTCTAAATGTGTATACATCAAATATAATTGCAAAATAATCTGAAACAAAAACTACAATACTAAAAGGAGAAGTTGTCTAGACAAATACACAGCTGGATGGAGACTTTCATACTCCTCTCCCAACAACTGATGGAACTTGAAAATCATCAAGGACATAGAACTCAACAACAACCAACAAGATCTAATTAACATTTATAGAACACTCTCCAGCCAACAACAGTAGAATACACATTCTTTTCAAGTGCTCAAAGAACATATACCATGAAAAACCACATCCTGGGCCATAAAAGAGAACTTCTAAAAACTGAACTCATATAAAGAGTTCTCTCTGACCACAATGGAATCAAACTAGAAATCAATAATAAAAAGATAACAGAAAGCTCTCCAAATTCTTTGAAATGAAACAACACACTTCTACATAACTGTGTCCAAGAGGACAATTTTTTAAAATACACTGAATTGAGTGAAAATGAAATACAAGATATAAAATTTTATGGGACACAGTTGAAGCAGTACAGAGAGAGACATTTATAATAATAAATGTATACATTTATGAAAGTAAAGAGGAAAAGAGGGAAAAATCTCAAATTAGTAATCTAATTTTTCATCGTGAGTACAAAATAGTCACAATGCAAGCAAAGCAATAAAAACAGAAAACAATAGAAAAAATAAATGAAACAAAGACTTGGTTCTCTGAAAGGATCAATAATGCTGATTAACTTTTAGCAAGACTGACAAAGTAAAAATGAGAGAAGACACAAATTACCAATGTCACAATTAAAACAGGAGATATTGCCATAGTCCGCGTACATATCGAAAAGGATAACATGAGAATGCTCTAAGTGATTCTACACACATAAAACTGAAAACTTAGACAAAATAGATCAATCCGTCAAAAACTCAAACTTCCACAATTTATCCAATACAAAATACATTATTTGAATAGTTCTACAACTATTAAGGAAATTAAATTCATATTTTAAAACTCCTAGAAAAAATCTCAAGGTTCGCATAGTTTCACTAGAGAATTCTACCAACCATTTAACAGAGTTAATACCATTCTACACATTCTCTTC